TGACGGCGCCGTAGATGGTTTAGGCTTGGGCCAGACTGTCCGAGGCGAAAAAATTGAAGCAATGGGCGATGAGGAGTTTGGGATGAAAGATGTTTTTGGGTGGCTGGAGACTAAGTTGGATTTGTTTTCGGTTTCGCTCTGTAAGGTCTTGCCCTCGGGTAGGGTCTTCCCTTTACCTTCGTCCTTCTTGGTTTTAGGCCGCCTGTTTCCTCAAACTCCCCGCCCTTGCTTAGTTTGTCTTAGAGTGTTAGTTTTTGCCCTGAATTCTTTGAACGGTGAGGGTTTTGATGATGATGGTACTAGGGTTTCCCCTTATCAGAGGCAGGTGTTGGAAGGCTTGCTACTGCCCTGTCAAAGAATTTGTGACTGGTCTGAAAGAGGTCGTAGGACTTCGTGGAGTGATTTCTTTCGTATTAAAGGAGTGGACTATAAAGGGGATGAAATTCTCAGTGCACAGTGGCTTCGATGGGAGAATGTGGCTCCTGCCTTGCCCTTGGAAGTTGGAGGGGTTGCTTTGGAGGACGTGGTCGAAAAGGGGTCGCGCCACTACGTGCTTAACTTTGCCGAGTACCTGTTGGATCCTGAGGATCAGGTGAGTGTTAAGCCCCCTCGTGTGATGGTGGACCCAGCCTGCTGGGATGTCTTCTGCGAGAAAATGATGGAGAGGGGTGTCTTTTCTCGGGTTCACGTTGACGAAGTCTATAAGGTGCAAGGAAAACCGCTCCTCAATGGGTTGTTCGGCGTCAGCAAACATGAGTTTGAAGGACAGTGGGAGGTAATGCGCGTTATCATGAATTTGGTCCCACTTAATTCGGTGTGTAGAGGCCTGGATAGTGACATCGCTACCCTGCCTTCATGGGCAGGTATGTCTCCCCTAGAACTACTTAGCGATGAAGACTTAGTAGTTTCTAGTGAGGATGTTCGATGTTTCTTTTATATATTCAAAATTCCTGTAGCTTGGCACCGTTTTATGGCGTTCAACCGTCCCCTACCTGAGAGATTGCGGGGCGACAAGCCAGGAGATTGGTTTCCCTGTAGCGCTGTTTTGCCTATGGGATTTAAAAACAGCGTTGCACTTGCACAACATGTGCACAGGGTAATCGCCAAGCAAGCCCTGGGACGCTCCAACTTGGGTGGTGAACTGGAATTGAGAAAGGACAGGAGCTTTACCCAAGGGAACCCTATGTTTAGAATTTATTTGGACAATTTTGATGAGCTTAGGAAAGTCTCTAAGGGACACGCCCAAGCCATCGCAGGGCACGTTTCACCCCTTGTTTCAAATCTATGTGAAGAGTATTGTTGTTTAAAGATCCCTCGTCACCCTAAAAAAGCAGTGGCATCTCAGCTCTGTGCCGAAGTTCAAGGAGCTATCGTGGACGGGCAGCAAGGTATTGCTTATCCTAAACCTGACAAGGTGTTGAAGTATGCCTCTTTGACTCAAATGCTGTTAGTGGCTTCAGACTGTACTCAGAAACAAATGCAAGTTGTTGGGGGTGGGCTGGTATATCTGACGATGTTTCGACGGCCATTGTTATCGTCGCTGAACTACGTGTGGAAGTTCATCAGTAGTTTTGACGGGTACCCGCCGTTCATCAAGTTGCCCATCCCCGCGGAGGTGAAGATGGAGCTTGCACGTTGTCTGGGTCTTGTTCCCCGGGCCTTTATGGATTTTCGGTCAACTCTGTCAAGTTTTGTGACAGCTAGTGATGCTTCAACGTCAGGAGGTGGGGTGACGGTCACTCAAAGGTGTACTCCGGCTGGGTGCGTCGCGGCAAATTGTAATGTGAGGGGCGATGTGGTCGAGCCGGCGGATGTGACTGGGGTCTTGACTGTGGGGCTGTTCGACGGTATTGGTGGTCTCCGTGTTGCTGTTGATGCCCTGGGATGGAACGTCATGGGACATGTGAGTGTGGAGAGGTCGGCAGAGGCTGCTCGGGTCGTAGAGGCGCGGTTCCCCAACACAGTGCATGTCTCGTGTGTGTCGAGGAGGTCACCGAGGTGATGGTTAAGGAGTGGTCATTGCGGTTTTCTCAGGTGGGACTGGTGTTGTTGGGTGCTGGCCCCCCTTGTCAGGGGGTTAGTGGACTTAATGCCCAGCGTAAAGGAGCATTACGTGATGAACGCAGTTTCCTTGTTCATTCATGTACCTCGGATACGTGACCTTTTGAAAGCGGCATTCCCCTGGGCCCAAGTAAGGACTTTGATGGAGTCTGTTGCTTCAATGGACCAGCATGACGAACAAGTGATGTCGCAGGGTATTGGGAATTCGCCCTGGTTTATTGATGCGTCGCGCGTTAGCCTAGCTCACCGGCCTCGCCTATACTGGGTGGATTGGGAGCTTCTTGAGGGAGATGATGTGACGTTTGAGGAGCTTCCATCGAGTAGACGGAAAGTCTGTATGCGGGCTACCCTTGACGTAGACAGGTATTTAACTCCGGGGTGGAAAAGGATGGCTGACGGCCCCTTACCCACTTTTACAACTGCTCGACCCAGGGAGTCGCCCGGTTACAAGCCAGCCGGGTTGAAGCAGTGTTCTCCTGATGTTTTGCAGCGTTGGGCGGCTGATGCTTTTCGGTATCCGCCGTATCAGTATTGCCCCCAACACTGCCTGACTAACAAAGAGGGACAGTTGCGTCTTCCAAATGTAGAAGAACGAGAGGTGATCCTGGGTTTCCCGCGAGGTTTCACTGTACAGTGCATGGGCAAAGCCAAACAAGGAAGTCAAGAGCATGTCGATCGGCGGATGACCCTGCTCGGCAATTCCTGGAGTGTGCCAGTTGTAGCGTGGTTGTTAGGACAATTAGGATGTGTTCTTGGGCTGAACCCAGCGCTGAGTGTGCAAGATATTGTGGAGCGTACCGCTCCTGGTTGTACAAAGGATTTCCAAACCTTTTTGCAACGACCTCCGATGACTGCAAAGCGGTCAAAGGTGGTTCTAGGTAATGAGCTCCGACTGGTGCGCAAACTGTGCAGTCTTATCAGTGTCAAAGGCGATGATCTGTTACTGCAGGCGTCTAGTGAGGATCAGGTAAGATATCAAAGGCTTCGAGCAGCCATCCCGGCGAAACTGTGGCGGTGGCGTACTGTATGCGGTTGGCGATGGTCAGGCAACCCTGAGCATATTAATGTATTAGAGATGCGCGCGGTCTTGACTGCCCTGCGTTGGCGGCTAGAGCGCCAAAATCTGACACATTGTAAATTCGTGCATTTGGTAGATTCGTTGGTAGTTCTCCATTCCCTTAGTCGGGGAAGGTCTAGCAGTAGAAAATTGAAACGAACATTGCTCCGAATAAACTCGCTACTTCTTGCAACTCAGTCGCATGTGGTATGGGCTTACGTCCATACCAAGGATAATCCCGCGGACGCCCCAAGTCGGCGGCCGCGCAAAAGGAAATGGGTCCATGCCCAAACGTCTGATTGAAGGAAAAACGCAGGAAGAGCGAGCAAAAATTCGGAAGCAGCTAGGAACTTTAAAGGATTTAACTGTACAGCCTACTACCAAAGCACGATATGCTCAGGCCCGGGACGATTTCTATGCTTACCTGAAGGATCACGGTTTAGTGTTGCCTCATACTGCTTCACAGCTTGACTCCGTCGTTAGTGACTATCTGGAATTTTTGTGGGCTGAAGGATTCGGTCGTTCTCACGCCTCCAACATTCTGGCTGGACTTCAAGATGCGCAACCTCAACTCCGGGGTAAACTGTTACAAAGCTGGCGTCTTTTAAAAACGTGGTCCACACATGAAGTGCCAAACAGAGCACCGCCCTTACCGGTGGATGTGCTTCATGCCATGGTGGGGTATGCTCTTTTTAAAGAGAAACAAACATTGGCCCTGTCGTTTCTTTTAGCATTTCACGGTTTGCTTCGAACTGGCGAACTAGTAGCATTGAAGTGTGGTCAGGTGTCTATTAGCTCTCCTCAAGGGCCTGCGGTCATTTCCTTAGGCTTGACCAAGGGTGGTAAGCGTCAAGGAGCGGCCGAGTCGGTAACAATTTACATGGAAGACATATGCCGCCGCCTTTTTCATTGGACTCAACACGTGTCCCCTAGTTGTACACTCACAGGCCCAGCTCACAAGTGGAGGAAAGAATTCGCAGAGATTCTTTCTACTCTTGGGTTTTCAGAATGGGATTTTCGACCGTATTCCCTCCGACGAGGGGGAGCTACCCATCTTTTTTCGTTGCAGGGATCGTTTGACAAATTGTTGGTCACTGGTCGGTGGCAGTCAGCTAAAACGGCAAAACTCTATTTGAATCAGGGATTAGCGGTTCTGGCCGAATTGAGGCTACCTTGGACCCGCTTTTCGCGTAGTTTTGTTTCACAGTATTCGCGTAGTCTCACACAACCCCTGCCTTCACTTGAGCCCGTGCCTCAGAAGGCACAGAGCAGGGGGACGCGGAAACAGAAGCACAAGCGCCCAAAAAACGTGGATTTGCTGGCACGGTGGTGTGCTGTGAGGGGATTGTTCATCTCGCCTTGGGAGTGGCCGGGCAAGATGCTAAATAAACTTGTTATACCTGGTCTGATCTCTCCTTGGGTGTGGCCAGGAGTTGACAGGGGTATAGGGATTTGATTCCCAGGTGCGCTTATGTGTTTCATTCTCCAGAGTTTGAGGGAAAAACGTTTTTCGAATTTTCAATTTTGTTTTGAGAATCTCGACCTTGCAGAGCTGACAAAAAATGGGCGGCGGAGTGAGTCTATATATATATATATACACATATATATATATAAATAACCCAGGCAACCCCGAAGTTCACGAAGCATGCATGAAGTGAGCAAGTTCACAGGAACTTTAACATCCCACCCCCGACCCCAACCCCCCCCCCCAAAAAAAAAACAAAGTTTCGTGACCAGTTGCCTGGGGGTGGCGTTGGGAACTAACATAGCTATGGAAAATCACCATTGGGAATAGGTAAATCAACTGTGAATGAGCCATTTTCCATTTCGCAAACTGCAAGAAATTTCCAGACGGTAGCCACTGAACTCGGTACGCCACTAGGAGCTGTGCGCCCACGACCGGGCCCGGCCGTCCCGGTGGGCCGCCCTGTTTTCGCGCCCCCTGCACAGCCGAGCTCCATCTATGGGGGCCATCAACCTGAGACGCACCTTGGTTTGGGATCGAAGTTGGATAAATCTGGCAGGATGTGAAGAGATGTTGGAGCTTCTCTGACCAAGGGTCATCGAAACCAGTTCGTTTGGCATTCTTTGGTGTGTGGTTTTCGCCCATGAAACACATGCTTAGTTTTTGGGGCATGTGGGGCTGATTGAAACTTACTACCCTCTGGTTATTTAACATAGCCATGGAAAATCCCTTATAAATGGAGGTTTTAATGGGAACATCATCTATTTCTATGGGCCATTTTCCATGGCTATGTTAAATAACCAGAGGGTATCCAATTTTTGAATATGTTCGAGATGAAGACGACGTGTCTAGTTCGGTTTTTTGCAACGGAAACTCGACCTGGTCAGATTGTGCCCCGACTTGCCAAGTACTGGTTGGCAGATAAGCCTAAGTTAAAAACCGTCCCCAAGTGGGGTTTACTCTTGGGAGATGGGGAAAAATTACGCAGTCATATTTGTAAAGCAGTCATATGCTGGTTGCTGGTGACTGGAACCATGGAATGGATTCTGACTTTCCATTCAGTTGGGAATTTCATAATCCCAATTGACTTTCATGTTTTTCAGAGAGGTGGGTCAACCACCAACCAGTATGTGTACTATAGTTTCACCATCCAAATCAAACACCATCAAGCTAACTTTAAATCGAATTGGGATACTGCAACTTTTTTGACGACCTCACTGCGACGTCACTATCGATTGTGGGTCAGTAAGAGTACACAATCCCCAAATGGCCTTATGTTACCTTCGCAGAAAGAGTACTGTATTCATTTCTATCCCTCCAAATCCCTGTCTAATACAGTATCCATTATATACAATTAAATACCTACTATCAGAAACCACAGAAAACCCCATCATTTTTCATCGAACTGTTCCATATTTTCTAGACACAGCTGGATTGATCCAGCATCGCCAGGGACGATGACGATGAGTGGGAACTGGTGACGCTGGAGGAGGAGGAGGAAGAGAACGAGAACGACCAGAACGGGTACATCCAGAGGGAGCAGGTGCGATGATATGCGATGAGGAGACGGGAGTTTCCGAGAGGTACCCTCTGGTAATGACTAACATAGCTATTGAAAATGGCCATAGAAATAGTTGATTTACCCATAAAAAATGGGGATTTTCCATAGCTATGTTAGTTTTCCGAGAGGTACCCCAAATCACCATGGGTTTCAACACCAAAATGGTCATCCGTGACGACTGGATGATTGGTGGTACCATATGATGTTCCGGTGGTTTCCACCTGGGGATAGGGGGATGGGTCAAGTTAACAATGAAGAAAACCCCGAAGAACCATGCAACATTAAGCAGCTATGTCGTTTTTGTTTGGGTAGGGTTTGACTCATAAGCATATAGAAATCTATATCTGGGATGTATATGTTCGCATCAATGGTCTCGTGAGGATCACAGCAGGAAAATGTGAGCACCATCATTTGGGGGATATCGATGATGGAATGATGAATGGGGGAATGATGATTAATGTAGTATGAATGATGAATATATGCATATATGTAATATAATGCATATATACTGGAATTATAAGGTATAGACAATGGGATTATAATGGGGTACATACATGCGCATACATATATACAGATAGAATGATATAATGGTGATACCGTGATAGATGATGGGATTACAGTAGATATGACCAACAACACAATGGTTTGGGGATATATCTTTTGAGGGTATCATGGGATATATACAAAACCAACAATATGGTACATAAAGGTCTCAACATCTGCAACCCCCTAAAATGCACTTTTACTTTTTCAGAAAAAGGATATATGATATATTCTGACTCTCCCTCTCTCTCTCTGTATATATATATATATATATCTGGGTAAATTATAAGGACCTCACTGCGACCTCACTGGAATTTTGGTTAATAAGGGACATCATCCCCAAATGGCCTTAATTCAGGTTAGTGAAATACTATAATTTACCCATATATATATACACATAATGAACCTATAAGCTAATGTTGGATACGTATGATATGAATGGTATGGGGGTATTTGAGCAATCCATAGCAATCCACTGTCGATATTCCCATTGCATTCCCCTTATATAGTGAGTATAAGGGATAGATAATGGGGTTCTCATGTGAATACAATAACGGCTCTTGATTGTTACACCATCATGGGATCATAATGCCTGAATTCTCCTATCAAATCCCTTGACATTTCCATGAAATCTCATAGAATGTTCCCGTCAAATCCCATCATTCCCATAAACATCGAACAAGAAACTCACAGAAAATCCCATGAAAATCCCATGAACTCTCATCCAACCCATCCAACTCCCCATGCAAGCAGGTGCCAGGTCACTGGACTTCCATGGGCCCCATCGGTGCGCCTCCCGACCTCGACCTGACGCACCTCTCCCGCGACCGCCGCCCGGGCCCGGGCGGCCTGGGCGGTCCGCAGCGGGAGCTGCTGAAAGAGGCGGTGCAGTGCAACGGACGCCATCTGCGCAAGCTGGACCCGGCCATGTGTCCAGAGGCTGAGTGGCACCTCGACTGGTTTTTCCGGTGAAGAACATGTGGATTTTCTGGAAAAGGATCGACTTTTTCCGTAAAAGCCATGGGTTTTTTAGCTGTAAACTCCACATTGATGTTGGTTCACAGGTTAAGAATCTCATATCAAAGACTTTTTTTGGGGATGGGTCAAGTTACCTATGAATTTACCATGGACTGGAGGAAGAAACATCCAGCTATAACAGCGATTTAAAGGTACCATCCGGGCATTCGAGTTTTGACCACCATTTGGAGAGATCTCGGCGTGAAAAGCAGGGTTGCTCCAAGGCCTTATAGATGAATGATAGCCAAGTTTGGAAGGTAGATTAGTCATTTGAGTTCTATGTTTAGCCAATTTACCCCGTACCTGGTGTGGGAGGAACCAGAAGAAATAGAAGAAACGTGGAGATTTCAGGAAAAAAACAAGGGTGGTTTTACCTAAGAACCATGGCATTTCACCATGAACAATTGTTTTTTTTTTTCCGCATCACACTGGTTGATTTCACCATGAGGAAGGTGATGCAACCAAGGTGAAAGGTGATTTCGAAAAAAACAAGGATTTACTCATGAACCTAGGATTCTGATGGAAATTTGGGGATGAACATGACATTTTGGCTGCATCTGTCATGGGAAGATTTCATTGACTCTGCGTTAGCACCAAGTTTTTCTTGAGAATTTCTGACACTTAGGATTTCACCCTAAACGTTGGAAGATGAAGTCTTGATTTACCCAGAAGTTTACCCACATTTCCCACGTTGGGTTTTTGGTGACGTTTCTAGCATCGAATAACGGGATGTAAGCATCAAACGTGGGGATCGAGATGATCCTGGTGGATATATCCACCATAGACCCGACCCTGGTTAGCTACAAAGGAACGTACCTATCCAACACCTTTTCTGCCTGTTCAGGTTTATGCAGATTTATGCATATGGTCTTTTGATTTTCCAATTGGAATGTTGGGGGCTGCTAAGAAGTGGTTCTTGCAAAGATTTTGGTGACTTGTTCTTGCGTCATATGTTGCGTCTGTCTTGGGTATGCCTTTTGCCTTTTTTGGTGGTAGCCTGGTACCTTCTTGGGGGCTGACGTGACCTTGTGATCCATCAGAGGCCGCATGTCGCAACGAGAGGGTGCCATTTTTGGCAGTCTACTTCTGTAAGGGAAACTTTGAAGGACACCATTGGGTGTTTACCACCAAAAAGAGAGGTGAAACCCACCTTAAAGTTATTACATAATATGTATATATATATATAATATGATACATACATACATACATACATACATACATACATACATATATATATATATATCCCCAATGCTCCCAAGGCATTGGAAAAACCTGGTGCAGTGGCTGGAGTTGGATGACCTGCGATTGAAGTGTGGCCATGCCTCGATCTCCAGACACTTTTCACACGGAGAACACAAGGGGCAGCCAGTGCAACAGTGCCGTGGCAGTGGATTTGGTGATTTTATGGTGATTTCATGGTGATTTTATTGGATTTAATGGTGATTTCATGAGATTTGATGCTGATTTATCGATGAAAATTGGTGATACTTCAACTCATGGAATATGAATTATGATACTTCATGGGATATCTTATGAAATATGAATTCTGATACTCCATGGGATATGTTCTAGTGATTTTCTGAGTGATTTTATGGATGATATAGCATTTTCACTGGGAGAGTGATGGTTTTTATGATCCGTATCTCAGAAAATCAAAATCGCCAGCGAGTGGACCCGCCGTGGCGATCTTGGGGAACTTCCATGGTTCGAGAACTCGGAAAAAACATCCATGGTGCATTGGTTTTTAGCTCTTCATCCAACTGGAGAGATAAGTTTACTACAAACCAAAACATATACCATCTGGTTATGACTAACAGTTTGCCATGGAAAATCCCAACCATAAATGGAGGTTTATAGCTGGGAAAATCATCTATTTCTATGGGCTATTTTCCATGGCTATATATGTTAAATAACCAGAGGGTATTTATAATAATAATATATATAATATGTATTAATGTATGTATACATGTTGTTGAAATGGTGATGGAGAAGCACTTGCTAGACCTTCAATGGACTGATTTGTCGGGAATTTATTACAGGCCTTACCATGTTTGTTACCCCTAAATACAAGAGTGACAACTACAGATTTTCCCCTTCCAAAGCCAATTCTGGACCGTGGGCAGTGGAGATTGGTGATGTGTTCTTGGAGGCAATAGCAGGGAATCTTGATCCAATGGGAGTATTTTCAGTTTTTCTAATCCCTTCTCATATTAAATGCCGAGAGGGAACGCCATTTTTTTCCACAAATCTACCGTAGTAGGGTGGTATGTAAGTGGTTTAGATTGATTATTTAGAAAGGAATCGAATTGTTTATGTACCAGCTATTAACTCTACCGTAATCTACCTTAGAAGGGATTCATTTGTTTCATTCACTCCAGGTCTATCCTGTCCAGCTTGTCATTATTCACCCTGCTAGGCCCTGCTCCTTTGTTTCGACATGCCATGGATCATCAATGCACAGAATGAAAGATTTTTCCGGAAGACATGGGAAAAACTCAATGTTATGAGTGATGTTATGGCAGTTTTTCTGAAATCAACGGCCATAACATGGGGTTTTTATAGCCATAACATCAATGCACAGAAGAAATCACATCAGATTTGCTGAAAAACAGGATTGGATGAGACAAAATGACCTTTGAACCAATGACCTTTGTGCGCAAATTTCGGTCCACCAGGCCTACCCTTGCGCGCAAAAAAATCATTGTTCCATCCTTTCCAAGCACAATGTTTTTGTTATCCCTACTATCATATTAAATTGGTTATATATATATAATACAGTAATTATATCATATAATATCCTCATGATGATTCCTCAATAATGGTCCCAACCCTGTTTGGTACCGTTTTTCATTATTATCTCACTTACATGGTTAAACCATGTTAAACCATGTATTATTAAGCATATACTGCCATCCCCGTAATATAAAACACCCCTTAACTCGTTCCAAATATGTGGTTTCATCCCCTACAAAACCATGGTTTCTGAGGGTAGGGGAAAGGGATTCTGAACCATATTTAAGCATATATTCTTCATACTCTCTCATTGTTATCGCAATGATTCCCATAAAATATCCCCAAGATCGGTGAAATCCTTGGCTCCGGTGATCGGATCTTTTATGGCGCTGGGTCACCGAAAAAACCGGCCCAAGCCAGAAACACTCACCACTTATGATCCGTGTGATCTTCCCTTCTATTTTTCCCCATCAATATCTTCAATAGTCTATTTCAACTAATACCTTTTTTTTTTAAATATGATTCATCAATATCATCGATAATCATCAATATCCCAGTGTGAAACATTGAAACACTGATTCACCCAGTGACTTGGGGATTATAACATTAACTTCCCCTAAGTGATATCCCCAATGACTTGGGGATTCCCCCACTTCCCCCATACCCCATGGCTTCCAGTTCGCAAACTCTAACACTTTACAACTTGGATGATAACTTCGTCGCTCCGTGACTCCGTGACTCACCACTTGGGGATTCCTATTTCAACATGGATTCACCCAGCAATTTCCGGAAAAAATCCTGTAGTTTCCCCATCCCCAATGGCCACTTCCAGACGTACCTAAACTGGAGGTACCTACCATATATAAGGCCTATTTTTTAGGCCTATGTAAGGGCTAAATTTCAGGGGATATCCCCCCAGTGACACTCGGATTTGGCCTCGAGGCTGGTGATTGACCTCCAGATGGGCCGCCTGCATCCGCAGGAGCTGCCCGCGCTGGTGGCCGTGGAAACGGCCGCCGCGGGCGAGCTCTTCGTGGTCTGCGGCAACCGGCGCTGGTTTGCGGCGCCACCGGACGACTGGGGGATGGGGGGGCGATCCCACAAAATGCTGGGATTTCAGGGGTTTTTGAAGGTAGGGAAGCCACGAGGGAGTGATGATTTCAGATGATTTCAGGGTGTTTTGGGGATGGACTTCCATGTTTTGGGATCAATTTCGGTGAATTTGACCATGTTGAGGCAGGACCATATTCAGGTGCTTAGCCGTCTTAAGAAACAGGGCCTTGAAACGACAACCATGGAGATCGAAGGGATATGAAGGGATCTGGCATTTTGACCACCCGAAATGGACATTTGAAGTGACAATATCATTGCAGCGACTTCACGTTGCTTTCCGCTAGGGGAATCATCCCACCATCCCCAAGACCGACCTTCCGCGCTCGGTGAAACATGTGAAAATCTGGCACATCTCCATCTCAACCAATCAACCAATCATGGCGCAGCACATGCCCCTGTTCATTGATCTTAGTTGGCTATGAAAGCTATGACTTGGGGGTCTCTGAGGTCTCTACTACCTGGTTTCTTGGGAATTACTACCTGAATTACTGTAAAGTATTAATACTTAAGCTACAAGTTTTTGGGGATCTCTATCGACCAGCCGGTCCAACTCCATATATGACATATTTTCGAAGATTTACCCTGAACACGAGCCAGTTTTCCAGTTAAAGATAGCAGCACCAGGAGAATTTCATGGGATGCGAAAAAAGCCGGGTGCTATCTCCTTTCGGACGCTTAAAAACCCACATTCGATGCTGACATGCATAGTTTCCAATCATCTTTTTCATGCTTAAACTGCTTAGTCGCAGATGGTTGTTGGTTTCATCCCCATCTCAGCATTTTTCTTGCTCAACTCTCTCAACTCGCACCAAACACGACCATTCTATCAGCATCCAACGGCTTTTTGGGTGGCCACCTGGGGCTTCCGTTTTTGTTGCAGGTGCAGCAGTTCGCCAAAGCCACGCCCCCCTGGAAGCGTCCCCGCTGTTGGGTCCGCGTCATTGTCCACGACTTCCCTCAGCTGACGGCGATCTCGGACCCGGAGCAACGCAGTGCCTTCCTGCTGAAGGCCGGACGTTTGGGACGACGTTTGGGACGATGGGGAGGTGGCTGCTGTATGGATGGGGTGAAACATGGTGAAACATGGTGAAACATGGTGAAACTGAGAATGAAATTTAGGGGCCAATATAATCTGATAATCCATGATTGGGAGAAGACTCTGAGAAGACCTCTCTTTGGGAATTTCTGGGTGACCTGAGCTCTTGGTGATTGGGGGAACTATTTGAAAAAATGCTGGGTCTCTGGGGATCATACATTGATCGGAAGCGATGATTTTCGATCAAGCCCCACTCTTCAAAGAACAGTTGCACACCTGGAAATGATGAAGAAATCATGGACAATACGATCCCGGTTTCACACTTTTGGGCATCGTTTTTGGGCGTTAGTCCCAAAAAGGACACAAAAAGGACATAGTTTTCAAAGTTTTCACGCTTCACTCTACCCTCTGGTTATTTGTTACATAGCCATGGTGGTATAGATGGCCCTAATCGAAAGTTAGATGGTTTACCGTTCTTTTAAAAATGCATGGTGGATCTTTCCATGGCAAACTGTGAATGTCATAACCAGATGGCTTTTCTCCCAGATTCTCACCAAGCCAACTCCAAAAACCGGGGATGCGTCCATTTGTTTCGTAGGGAATGCCCCAAGCACGTTTGATGACACCGGAGGGTGATAGATAGAAATATACCATGATTATCCTATGATTATCCATATCAAACCATATAGAACAGCAAAAATCCATGTTAAACCAAATAAAACCTATGATTATCATTGATTAAACCAGATAAAAGAAGATAAAAACCAGATAAAAACCCACTATCTCATATTATATAGGATTTGTTCCTTTTCGGCCTCTTGGGCTTGCCAACAGCCACTTTTCCCCTAAAATTATGAGGCGATCCAAGCAGTGGATGGCAACGGAGAGCGGCCACGAATGAGATGAAGTGCTGGGGCTTCGAATCTGCCAAATTGTGCCAAAACCCCGGCCGAACAGCTGTGAAGTTTGGGTGTAAGTTTTCTGGGCAGTTTTCCAGAGTTGTTTGGGGAATTTTATCATATTTTATGCCCAATGACTCAATGACCCATGTCTTTTGAAGTGTTTTTTTCTAAAAGGAAAAAGGGTCGGCCTCGCCGTGAAACTCGGGGAAATTTCTGCGCCCGGGGGAACTGCGACAGTTAAGTGTGACTTCTGGGCGGTGGTTAGTTTTTTCAGAGGCTGGGCTGGTTCCGAATTTCTTCTTGGAAGTGCAGTGACTCAGTTGTAAAAGTGGATCTACCCTCTGGTAAACTAACATAGCTATGGAAAATCACAATTTTCAATGGGAAAATCCACTATTTAAATGGCCATTTTCAATAGCTATTTTGACATAACCAGAGGGTAACTTGATCTAAAACCATAGTTTTGTTGGGGGGAAATGCTGGGGTTAGATCCAGTTAGATCCCAGCTTTTGGGAGTTGATTTCACCTATGGCCATCTGGGCCATCTGGGCCATATCAGACTTTTGATCCGAGCCGCCATAGCTTCGCGCCGAAATCTTTCGTAGATCTTTGATCTTTAGGAATCCCTAAACCCTAAGAAAATACATGAAAATACACATACATTCTCAAAAGCCCTGGTTGAGTATAGATGTTTTTTTTTTTTTTCCAAGCATTCAATAGAGGCCATTCAGTTTTTTTTTCAAGTCTAGGGATGGGAGAATGGATCAGATCGTCGATTTTAGACATTTAGACACCAACAGGGCAGCCTGTGCAAAGTGTCACTGCTGCTGGTGCCACAGTGACTAGCCTTGCTCGCGGGGAACAGAAAGGCTGCGGACACGGGAGACGGGCCACGGCTGAAGAAATCTCTGCCCGATATTTTTTCATGGGATCCGATAAAGCACGGAGATGAGCCGGAAGTTCTTCAATATGCATATATGTAAATATGGCATATAGTACATATATACGTATACGTATATATGACATATATGACATATATATATATATATATACACGTAACATTTTCACCGTTTTCCAGTGGTTGGCTGGTGCACCCAGTCCCAGAAGCTCCTGGTAAGGACAGCCCACTAAAAACTGGGTAACGAACTTCGGCTTTACATGAAGGCTTTATGTAGCTGATTCATTTTTTGGTCGCTATGGTAAACATATACCCCACAGATAGATAGATGGATGGATAGATAGATAGATAGATAGATTAGATTAGATTAGATTAGTTTTAGATTAGATTAGATTACTGTAGATTAGATTAGAGTAGATAGAAATATAGACAGATTAGATTAGATTAAATTGGATTAGATTAGATTGGAAAGATTAGATTAGATTAGATTAGACAGATAGAAATATAGAAAGAAATATTAGATTAGATTAGATGAGATGAGATTAGATTAGATTGGATTATATATATGTATTATATTATATATATGTATTTATAACATCTATCAGGAGCTCTGAGACTGCCATTCCTTTCAGGAGCGAGGAGAACGGGCCGACTTGGACGCAGATGGTGAAATATGTGGCAGATGCCAATAGCAATAGCACCGACTCCGATCGGTTGCTGGGCCCATGGCTGGTCCATGGCTTGACCGCGGGTAGAAGACCTTGCTGAAACATGGGGAATCCCTTCATCAATGGCCATGCAACAGGAACCGATTGATTGGAGGTACCTACCATATGTAAGGCCTTTTTGTTAAGGCCTATGTAAGTGAATATCCCCACAAAATATGGCCTTATATGGTACAGTACCTCCATTTTAGGATCCTGAAATTCCCATTGACTTCATCTTAGGTGTTATTTTTACATATATGAAATGATTGGGGTATCGGATGAAGTCGCTGAGAAGAACTAGTTTTCTTCATCATTTGCAGGTTGCCTAAAATAGCGGGTATCAAATCATCCATTTTATTTTGGGATTTTCCATAAAGCAACCAACCATTTTGGGGTACCACCATTTTAGGACCCCCCCCATTTCCGTATCACATCCAGTGGGTTACCCTCTGGTAAACTAACATAACTATGGAAAATCACAATTTTTCATGGGAAAATTCACTATAAATGGACCATTTTCCATAGCTATGTTAAATTACCAGTGGGTTATCCATCCATTTTCGGACTGAACAACGGCCATTTTCGTTGGGGTAAATCCCTCAATCCGAGGTTTGGTAGCGCCGTGGCGGTGTGTGGGAGCCAAGGGACAGGGGAAGTGTTCCAGTGAACAACTCGGTGCAGTTCTCAGCATGACGTGGGGATTATCGTTGTTTATCATACTTTTTTTTTTTAATGTTATAACACTATGTTTTTACTGAAAATTATACTGTGGGGATTATAAATTTGAGTGCATTTCAATAAACTGACGTGGGTTTGTAACATAACCAAACGTTATATCCATTGGTAACCTCAACTGTACATAACTGTACCCCAACCAGTTCCGATCTTGTGGAATTAGCACAGCAAAAGCACAAGACCCTGGCTGCTCGTGAGGCAGCCATGGGTGTATTTTTCCCATCATCCCAAAGTCATCCGGTGTTTTCTCAGATTCACCACATTGCAAAGTGATTGGGACAGCCCACTTTCTATCAGCAAATTTTCGAGAGATGATTTTTCGAAAGTTGATATTGATCTATGAGTTGCCATTGATTTTATTGATCTATCATTTCCATTTTTTTTCTGAAAGAGGCCTCAATGAAATCGATGGGATAATCCCAAGAATTCTCTGACAAAAATTCTCCATTTTTGTCATAGCCGTGAGAGATGGTCCCATTCTTCCCGGGTAATTTATTCATTCCTAGAAAGTCTATACCGGTTTTGTTATGCCGGTATCCCGTTTTTTTTGGTTGTATATCTAATGATATCCCCGTAAAATAAGAGGTGAATCTTCACGATGTTCCGAACAGAACTTTCCCAGGTCTTTGTGGCAATCACTGGTGCATGTAATGATGTAATCCCTATAACAACTAAGTTTTTTTTAAAGATATCTTGCTTGTTGTGGCAAACCCAATAATTAACAAGTAGTATTTGGGCATGGTTTGATTTCCACCTGTTGATGGTGATTTTGGGGATGGTTTATTATTGGATGTACCCGTTTATGGGATGTTATTCCCATTAATCCCCAAGCATTCTTGATCTTGTTAAATCTCATGAACAATTCCCATTGTTCTCATATATATATATATATATTATATCCCATAATTTATAGATATGTCCATTTCCCATAGGGTTGCATGTCCTATAAAAAAAATGCTTCTAGATTTCCGAGAATTTTATTCCATTCGCCCATGAATTCCATTTTTTTAGATGGGATAACCCCCGCTGAATGGGGACTTACGATCCGTAGGCGAAGTTTGCCACTTCCGTGGGATGATCCTCCAAGTAGATCCCATGATTTAATCCCAATCATATCCCATGATATTCCCATATATAGCTGGGGTATCCTATGGTATACTATGGTTATATATATATAGTTATATATATATATATCCACTCATGCACTCCCAAGTGTTATAATATCAACTATCTCATTCCCCATGATACTATGGTTACCCTCTGGTAAACATAGAAAAGACTATGGAAAGATGCCATTGAATCACCATAGGATTTCATATATTTCCCATATTTTCCCATGATACTATGGTTATGTCAAATTTCCCATAGGATTTCATATCTCCCTTAAACAAAAACACGAGATTTTCCGAGAGTTTGACTTCCGCATCCAGGTCTGGGACCACGGCCGTGGTGGGCGCCTTCTGGGACGACGGAGAGAAGATCAATGTGCCTTCGCGCTTCGCGAAAAGACCGCGGTTGGGTCAGTTTTTGAGGGTAAAAGACGAGACAAAAACTCAGGAATTTGAGAACCATCAGGTAAATGAACTATAGTCATCAATTTATCAGATGGTAACTAAAATCAGTTTTTTTTTTTTTACCAGGTAGATTGATGACTATAGTTCAACTAATAGTTACCATCTGAAACTGTTCCATAACTCTGGAAAGATCCAGCATTTTTGAGAACCGTAAATCATCTATTTCGATTAGGGCCTTCAATCGCTCTGTGAAATTGCGCGTTTTGGTGGTTCTCCTTGAATCTCTGTGAGTCATCTCTATGTTTTTGGAGGATTTGAGATGATTTCAGCATGAGATTTTTTTTTCCAAATTTTCGAGGACCATCTCATTGAGGTGGGAATGATTTGATGCTTTGATGGATCCATCGATTGTGTCTTTATTGGGGATGGTTTGTGGTTGGGGTTACAACATTTGTACCACACGAATCGTGGTACGGTACCAAGTTACCAAGTTGGTACATTCAACATTTTTTCAATGCGGGGAACCCAGGGGAAGCCACATAGTTTCCAGTACTTGGAGGTTTTTGGGAGGCACAACTGATGATTGGAAGCCTGGTGGTGAACTGAACTAAGCGGACAGTGCCACTCACCAGCTGCAGGATTCTGGTGATCCAAGTATTTTTCCACATGGGACATGTGAAAATCCTGACTGTTTTTGATGCCGGGATCTCTAAATCTGCAAAACTTGCGAAAGCTTCAGTTGAAGTGTTTGTTTGAAACCCGTTCTGAGGGTGGAGCTGCCTACATCTACACCAGGTACCTTGGTTTTTCAAGCCCATCCTGTGGGTTTTTTTGACGCGGTACGGGATGACCCAAAGATGTGAGCAGTGGCTGCGTTCTACCCCTGGCAGGGTTGATGAGTTCGGGGATGAAATCCTAGCCTTCATATGAAAAATGGGGACGCATTTATCATCCAAGAATGGGGAATCCCGTTCTTAACCAGGATGAAATGGAATGATCGAGGGATTTTGAAGACTGCTCATGTGAATAGAGAGTAGATACGATTTTTCAAAATGGATACTTAGACATCAATTGATTGATACTCATTTCCCAGAATCAGTTGACGGGACAATTTACTGTGCAGCCCCATTTTTTTAATGGTGAAACACATGGTTTCAACAGTCAAGATTATATATCTTGAACCAAGCAAATGATCATCAACCACCAGCTTTTTTGGATCATGTCGACCCTAGAGTAGTAAACCCCAAAGGGCTGTTTCATTGGGGGACCATCTAAATCCCAGATTATCACTGACATGATTCACCAAGGATCCAAACACTTTCTGAGGAATCACTTCACTAAATGATACCCCCCATTTTTCATCCCGAAGTACTTGGATCCGCGGGGATTTTTTGGTTTTCAAAGTTGGTCCGATGGTCAAAGTTGGTCCCCATGGCTTGTTGGCCAAATTTGTCAGGGGTTGGTTTGCCTGTCCCATTTTGGGAATATTGGACATCACCAAAAATACTAGCCATCTAGTAGACCACAAAAACCTAATGGTTGGGTGATGTGAAAAATGGGGACATTTAATGACCCATGTTTGTTTGTTTTGGTTCGCTGAACGTTCCTCGGCAGGAATGCGTCTGGCTGGGGTAGTGGCACCAAGATCTTTGCGCCTGATGGGGCGACTGAGGACATTTCATTGGTGGGATTTGGAACGGCTAAACACATGGCTAAAAACCTTGGATATATATGGGATTTTATGGGAATTTCATGGATATATATATATATATATATGATTTTATAGGACTTTGATGGTGATTTAACCACGATAATCATGATCATTGGATAATATTTTATGGGATTTATCACATGCCGTAGTTTGATGAGATTTTCAGGGGGAGTTGAAGCACGTTTTTTTTTGTTTATATTGCAAAACATGGCCATTTCTGTTGGGAAAGTGATGGGAAGATTATTATTGACCTACCATTCTATGGGGATATGATGGAGATACTTTATGGGATACTTTGATGAGATACAATAACCAATTTATATAATCTGATATTTAGGTATGTCTGAACATGATGTATCTATCTTCAAAATATGGCCGTTTGAATGGTCAAAACATGTAAACACCATTTTCCAGTGGATTTCTGTGTTCCCTATTTGCAGACAAAGCCAAGCTTTGAAGAATCCTGAGAAACATGCTGATGTTTCTCAAGAAAGCTAAATACTTCAGACCTTGAAGACTTCAATTTTTTGACTTTGGAGCACCATTAGATGGATTTCCTGGATTTCTTCGGTGGGATTTCCATGGAATCTTCCACACCAGGAAGATCGCTTTGGAATCTCCGTGGACGTCTCAGGCGAAAAAAGATCTGTGGCTTTTCGAACCATGGTAAGCCGGTCCCGTCCAGGTCGTTGAGAATCTCAAGCTATGGTCCAGTGGTTAGTGGTTATTTTCATGGTGAATTAATAACCATGATTTTCATGGTTAGTATTTTTTCAATAACCATAACCATAATGAAGCTATGGTTATTAATGGTTAGTAATAGTTCATAATCATGGTTATTGATGGTAATGGTTAATCTGGGTAAATTTCATCACGACCGAAGCCTGTTCTCCCGAACCCTGGAATCATCGTTTAGATATAGGGAAATCATTCCCTTTTATGGCCGAACTATTCAGGTTAGTGAATTATTATAATTTACCCAGATTTCTGTTTGGTACCCTCTGGTTGTGACTAACAGTTTGCTATGGAAGCCATGGCCCATAGATGATTTTCCCAGCGAACTAAACCTCCATGAAGAAAATTGATTTTCCAGTTCGCTATGTTAACCAGATGGTATATGAAGAGTTGGAGGTTGTTAATGCAATGAAAGACATAAGGACCAGTACCCCATTCACCATCATTTACCAAATTTTACCATTTAGGATCATAGCTAGGGGTATCAAGAGCCATGTGAAAAAAAAAAGGGTTCATGATTGGGCTTGATTGGGCTTGCCGGAAAAAGTTGACCGAAACCCTGCAAGATTTGCTCAGTTGATGATTCATGCTAGATTCATGGTACAAGGGTCCCAAAAAAGATGCCGAACGGTGTTTCTAGGATATGAATTAGATATACCCGGCCTGGTAAACATACAAAAAACTATGGAAATTCATCATGTTTAATGGGTAAATCCACTATTTCTATGGCCATTTTCCATAGCTATGTTAAAGTACCAGAGGGTAATTAGATAATATTTACCTGATGTTTCCAGATTTCCAATTTCTTGGTATGACTTGGGGTTGCCACAACTTGTGACCTGATTATTAAACGATGCGTAAACGATGCGGTGCCAGTTTGAGACTGGGTCAACTGTATACCACCCCTAGATGAATGAAATACACCTTATGAACTCTGCTCTAGATCTATGATCATTGATGATCTTTTGGATCTTTGGGTCCTCCATTGGTATATATATACCCTCTGGTTATGACTAACGTAGCTATAGAACATCGCCCATTTTTAAGAACGGTAAAAAACAACTATTTCTATGAGCCATCGAAAAATTCCATGGCGATGTTAGTCATAGCCAGATGGTACATATATATATATATACACACTATATATATATATATATATACACACATATATATATATATATGGTGGATCATTCCACTGATCGTAGGTCATAGTTCCCTGTCAGGATGATGTCTTCCCGTTCCAGTTCCGGTGGTCCAAAAAAAACGGTTGTTGTCCAACTGGCAGTTGCCAGGCAACACCATGATCGTCGGTGCCTACTTCGATAGCGATTCTGGCTTATGGAGTGGTTGGGAGCCCTGAACCGAACGTTGGACGAACGTTGGACCGAGCTGAGGGGAGCGATTGGTTGATTTTTCTATGACTCCAAGAACTGGGTTTATAGTACATATATATATGATAGTATATATATATATATTTATACATATGATATTATGTATATAATCATAGTATGTATATATATATATATATAGCTAGTGAGATTTGTAAACCAATTTGTACTTGTGGATCCTGGCGAGCTGGAGCTTATATCCCTAGTGGGAGAAGTTTTTTTTGCGACCTCAGGAGGCAATAGATGGCTGCTTGGCATCCTCATTTTTTTTTCCGGTGGCACCAGCTTTGGAGAAACGGAAGATTTTCGTAGTGAAAAAACAGCATTTCTCACCATCTTTGGAAAACCTATCTTTTGGTGTGGCACAATCGTTATTTCAAGATCCTGGGAAATAATGTCAGAGGTTTTCACACCATCTTCACCCATCAATTGCGACTTGCTCGGAACACATCGCCACAGTATTTCCAAAAACATCGCCAGGATGTGTCAAGTTGGGAAGCCATGAAGAAAGGTTGCTTGTTGGTTGTATCACCATCTTTTTTTGATGAATAAACATATGGGTATGGGTCAAAATTAGGTACCCCAATAATTGGATGGTCAATACTAAACTAGACATTCACATCTGTGGTCCCACATCGGTCTTCCATTTTGACCCACATACATACATATAACAATTCCAAAACAAGTTCGAGAATTCGGGTGTTTCACCAGCACCCACTAACCAGCCGACTGTCCATCTTCGTCAATGCGCGTGAGGCTCTGCCTACATCTTTGCCCAACTGGCCATTGATCAGTGGTCATACCAGGACTATGTCTGAGCATTATGGCGGAGTTGTTTGTTTTTTATGGGTAACATGATGATTTATGGTGATCTTTATGGGTAACATGATGATTAATTGGGTTTAGAATGGGATAAATCCAATTTTTTATGGCAGCATTCCAATGGGAAGCAGATGATCAACCATGATATTGAATGCAGTTTTCCGAACATTTTTCAGGCAATTCCTGTTTTGAGTGTGTCATAGATTCTTGTCAACAGTTTGAACATTGGCCCGTTGAATGTGTAAGATTGCGGCAATCCGCGAGCATGTCGACTCCTGAATAGT